ATGGATAGTTCATGCTCAGACCTGAATCCTCCTTCCGTGCCCTTCACAGCTCAAGACACACTCCATCTCTGAGTTCCCACAGCTCTCATAGTTCCAGTGGCATTCAAAATCCAAAATCCGAGTTTCCTCTGCAGCCCAGGGAAACTGCTGAGCCCTCTGCCTGTGTAGAATCAATGCTGCCTACTTCCAAGGTACCGTGGAATAGAGTGTGTGCTTCCATTCCATCAGGGTGGAATAGGCGAGCAGCAAGGAAGGGGTGGGCCAAAGCAGAGCTGAGACACAGGAGGGCAAGCACTGAGTCCTGTAGCCATGGGTCTGGTCCGGGGCATGTGGTAGCGTGTTGCGGATTCCCAGGGTGAAGTGGCCCCACCTATATAGCCTTGCCGGTTTAGCCCATGTGCCTTCTCTCTTGGGTTACTGCCTGTGACCTGCTCAACACATGTTCCTGGTATCTCTAATGTTCTTGGGTCTCTAGAGAAGCTTGGGTTTCATCCTCAGAGCCCCATGTGTTGGCCTTCCAGGGGCTGCCGGCAGAGACCCTCATTCTGGCCCACAGTGCTGCCTGCTTTCCAGGCTTTTCTCTGAAGTATGGGTGGAAGGCTCCACAGCTCTGTGGCTTTCATATCCCTCATGCTCACAAAATCGGCACCACGTGGTCATGGTCAGGGCCCGCCACCAGCTTGAGCAGTAGCCAGGGGAATGTGGAGCGGAGTACTGTGGCCTCATAGTGCCCGGCTGTCTGGATGTGGTAAAAGCTGGGTGAGCAACCATAAGGATGTTGGTGCGCTCAGTTGTCCCTCTTGTCTTAAGGGAGTCTTGTAAACATGTCCACACATGTACTTCTTGTGCTGGTGATGGATGGTTTGCTGTCATTTCCTGACGTCCCTCAAGATAGCACTGTTCCTATGCAAAGCCCAGAACATTTTAAAAAAATGATCTTGTCTACATTTCTCTCCATGCTGTCTGTGTGAAATATTCTGCGAAAAGCAACGTAATGCTTATTGTGCCGTACTGGTTCAGCTGGGCAGTCAAGTGGTGGTGGCTGGGAAAACATGGCGGTGGCTAGGAAGACATGATGGAAGGAGCAGGAGGCCACTGGGTGAGCATCCAGGAGGCTAGGTGAGCACCCAGGAGGCTAGGTGAGTGCCCAGGAGGCTGGGTGAATGCCCAGGAGGCTGGGTGAGCAGCCAGGAGGCTAGGTGAGTGTCCAGGAGGCAAGAATAAGTAAAAAAAAAAAAAGTGTTACCACCCAGAGGCCAGGGAGGCAGACTGGGAATCCTTGAAGCATAGCTGTTCAAGGAGATGGGATGCAGGCACAGTAAAGTGGCCTCTTCTCTCTGTAACTGGCCAGTACCCTTAGTTAGCTGAACCCCTGGATAGCACCCCAGTTAGCTGAACCCAACCACTCATGAAGGCAAGAGCTTGCTGTTGTTAAGAAGGGCTGTCCTGCCTGTCCACAGATAATCTGGCCATTGCATTACAGATTGATTTCAGAGGATCAGCTGAGCATGCCGTGTGGGCCCGTCTTCACACCCTCATCTGACGAGTCTCAGTTTGAAAAGCAAGCCACAGAGGAGAAAGTGAAATCAGTGCTGTTGTGTGATTCTTCAAAGATCAGGACATGAAAACCAGCAGGAAGGGGACAGCTAAGCAACAACTGGTCATTTAAAAAATGTGGGCCTCAGACTACTTTTAAAAGTAGACTTTCAACAGGGCAGGGAACCATGACTGCTCTTTGGATAGGAGAGGGAGGGGGAGAGGAGTGGGGGGAGGGGGAGAAGGGAGGGGG